TGTTTAAGATGGGATATTAGTAATTGGGATAAGCAACTCCATAGATTGTAATATACCTGTCAGCCTCGACGAGTTCATCTGGGAACAGTCGTGGTCAGTTCTTGATGACCTAACTTAATTATATTCTCATCCTGTCATCTACCATTGATGCCCTACCATATACCATTAGTTTATTAGTTTCTAAATAGCACGTATCAACAACAAATACTAATTTAATATCTTTCTAAGTTTTATATTACAAAAATGTTATACTTCATTGTTTATGTCAACCTTACAAGGTTCTCAACCTTTAATGAACAAACATAATGCTACAATATTGTAATAAGCAGTATTTATTTTAGAAGATCTACCATATCTATATTATTTCGTAGTACAACAAAAAAATGTACCTACTGTAACGTACAAATGATTGCCCACATTGTTTAAAGTTTACCAACTATCAAAAGCGAGTTAATGTTTTTCAATCGACTTAAAAAAACAAAGAACATTCTAAATTTTTAACATTGAACATTTAAAAGTTTTTATCGTTGTTTAACTGAAAACTGTTTTTTTACATGAAGTAATTTTAATATTTCATTGTTATTTAAAAGTGTCTCTTATATGGACCTATTATACCTACCTACCTACCTGTAGAAATTTCATCAAACTCTGTAGTATTTAAGTTGTTATTAATATTACGATTTCAGTTTTTCGTGTCCTGAACACAATATTAAAAATATACTGGATTCTACATTTCAGATTGTCTATGTCATCTTCTCAACTAAAAATCCTTTCAATATAATTACTAATTAAGTGTTTCTATCACTTCAAAAAGGTGTCAATTTACTAAATTTAAGGAACTAAACACATCCCATAGCTATTCTTGCATTTGTATAGACGTGTGACCGTTACAACTGTGCCTCTTATCATTTACAAGGGTTTCCACAGTTACTATGTATGTTATGTATGTACAACCGTGTAAGGATCTCATATACACTACCTTAATATCTACGGTAGATATATAACTGTATATATCATTAGTATTACATATCATATAGATATGAACATATACACCTGTATCTAATACATAAAATCACGTGTCACAGTGTAACAAAACTCCTTCGAAACGTCTTGACAATCCTTATAAAATTTTGTGTGTATATTTGTTTGAGAATAAGACGTAAACTCTTTTCATACACCTAAATGATAAGGTTAACCTACACCTTACTATTTAGTATCTACCCCAATTATTTTTTATTTCTAGTATTTTTGTTATCACATTGCTGGTCATAGGCTTTAATAGCTCGAAACGTCTCTCTCATCAGTTTTTTTTTTTTGTGAATGATAATGGAATGGTTCACCCGCCTGCGCTAACAGTTTATGCTGGCGGGGCACCAGTGGAGGATGACAAGATGAGCATGAGGTCAGGTCAGTTAGCCCATTGTGACAAATTTAACACGATGGTTTCCAGGGGGAACCGCGTGTAGGTTGACCTGACATGGTACATTGTTAGCAATGGGGTTATCAATCCATATTACTAACAATTCCCTTCCCCCTCTATCATCAGATTATCTTGCTCAAGTCGTGTCTTACCAGTAAAGTGGTCTAAATCTTCTCCAAACCCACCTTCGCTTTTGTAGCAATAGCACTGGTATAATCTTATTAATGTTATAAACGTGTAAGTTTGTGAATAGACATGGATGTTTATTACTCTTTCACGCAAAAAGTACTGAACATATTATGATGAAACATACAGTAATATAGCTTATATATCAGAATAACACATTGGCTATAAATTTAATAATATTTCTAAATTAATATACGAAAACAAGTGTTCGTACATTTTAGTGAGAATTATCGTTACTGATATATAGTAAATAAGTCGTAAAATATGAAAGTAATTTTGTTTGCTGTTAAGTATTAGTGCTCTCAGAAAATATTTCATGAAATTTAGTGTATAGGCTTTACTTTATAGAAACTATTACCACTAAAATAAAATATTTTTGAAAGAAACCTAAAAATAGCTGTAATTTCATTTTAAATTGAATACTCTGAAGAAGGTTTTAGTGTTTTCTGATTGTTCTATTAACCTTAGTTGACAGAGATAAAAAGTTGATTCTTATAATAAACTATTGGCAAACAAAATATTAAGATTTTATTTTTATAGCTGTGTGCATTTTTTTCTACATTTATTACAAGAATAACTGAACATTATTCCAACCAATTTACATAATTATCCTTTTAAATTATAGCATATGTGTTAATTTGATCCGTTCAATAGTTTTTGTGTGATACCCATCCATACATACTTAATTATCCATACTTAACATTTGTGACTCCGACAGTTATGGTGCCTATCCTTATTGAATGCCACAACTGTATATTCAATATAAAATAGTATATTATTTTTAAATAGGACAGAAAAGTATATTACTTATTTTTTCAGGTGGCAATTTTTTTTTATACTACTATGGTGGCAAACAAGCATACGGCCCATCTGATGGCCCTATGGACGCCTGAAGCACCAGGGGTGCCACGTGCGCGTTGCCGACCCTAAATTTCAGTGGAAGCCCATCTTTATGTACTGCCTACTTTCTATCTTTAACTTATAACTCAGATTACTTTTAAGTGAAGTTGTAAAAGTTTCTACAATAATCTAGATTTTCTAAATTCTGTTTCATAGCAAATGGAAATAAATTAAAAGTACTTTATTTGATTTCTAACAAATCTAACTAAAAAAAATATTAGTCTATATATAACATAACAATAATATCTCAGGACCAGCCACATAGCGGCATCTAGTTCCGTGCTAATTAGAACTTATTTTATGGATACTAGACGATTGATCTAAATGCATATTTTTGTGAATACATGCTTAATAATATATATAGAAAACAGACCAGTTCAAAAACACATAACATTTGTAATGTGCGCGGGATCGTACCCGCGACCGTCAGGAGTAAGGAGGTGAGTGTACGTATGTACTATGATCACCGCTGGACCACCGAGGCCGTCAAGAGTATTGCCTCTTTATCACGAATCTCATCTGTCAAGCAGCTGGTTTGTTAGCCGTGGATGAGAAGTGACAGTGAAAGAACAGAGGTATGGAGTGATAACTGTGACTTCCGAAATGACACCGCATGAAGCGATCCAGGACTGTCATATGATGATGTCATTTTTACAGTGTTATACATTTAGATACATTTGTCAAAGCCAAGTTCAAGTAAGAGAACTGGCGAGCAGCACCGTGTGTAGTTTTACACGAACCATTTGGATATAAATAGACAATTGTTACCAGTTTACAATCAGGTGGTACGACAGCTTATTTACCATTCCAGTAACAAAATAAAAATCATCCAAATATCAAATTATTTTCTGAGAAGTTGTATATAATAATTCGATATTCCTAATCCTATTAATTTTCATCTTGAGTTGTAACGAATGCCGTTTGTTTCATTAGTTCTAAGAAGTGTTAAGTGTTTTATCATAATTACTAGTTATGTTCTGTGGCTTGAGCTACAGTCTAATTAAAATAAATGTCTGTCCTCGTTGGCGGAACATCTATTTCATCTTACTTTGTTTTCGTTAACATTTTTTCTGACTTTCTTCTCATAGCTCGGTTCTTAAATATTATAACGTAATATTAAATAACCTATAACAAATCAATGGGCGAAGACACAGTACAGTTACTGTGGTATAGTTAAGAGCAATGAAATAACAAAATAATTACTATATTTTTTAATGTGCAAATATATTATACATATATATGTATAATTTTATTGATTTTATTTATATTTAATAAATGATAGGTGATGGTTTGGATTCACATATTTAAACTAAAAATGTAAACTTACAACAATTATTTAACAGCAAACAACACGCAAATTTCTTACTCGTTCTTCTTGGAATGAGACAGGTTCCGAATGAGCGGTAGATTAAAAAAAATAACTATAACTATTCAGAATTGCTTAATTTTAAATTTATTTCAGTAAAATATATTCTATTCTATTTAAAATTTATCGGGATATAGAATTATCCAGTGAAACGTAAAGCCAGTGACACGTAATTAGTCAATTTGATGTCTAAAATTAACACGCAGTTGCGAAATCTATTGTTATTATATATGATGATGACATCTTACTACATTATATACAGCCCAGAAAATAACTAGGATTTTAATGTCAATAGAATAGAAAATCCTTTATTCAAATAAACTCACTTAAGCACTTTTGAATAATAATAATTATAATAATAATGTTAGGACAATTCACACAGTGCCATTTAGTCCCAAGGTAAGCAAGCTAAAGCTTGTGTTACGGGTATTAGATAACTGATACAAGTTCAAAGATTTTTTTTTCGTAAATACATACTATTATACATAGAAAACACCCAGACCGATACAAACAATCATACTCATGAATACAAATGTTTGTGCCGTGCGAGGAATCGAACCTGCAACCATCGGACGTAAAGCGGTGTGCTAGACCGCTAGACCAACGAGGTCGTCGAAATAGTCACAGTTATCATTCTTTTACACTAACGGAAAGTTATCTCATCACAAGAAGAATGAGAAAGAACTTGCGTGTTGCTCTTTAAAATAATAGTTTTAATTTACATTTTAAAATCGAAACGTGTGTAAAATCGAAATACAAACAACCAACTAGCTTAAATACACCATAAGATTGAATCAGTCGTAAGAGAAGATCATTATTAGGTGTTACATGTAATTATCCACTTTAAAACCGACAACAATTCTCACACAAAATACAGCTGCAACCAACTATTTATGTGATGCCAACCCATTGCATTCTGTGCAATCCGGAAAATGTCATGTTCCGGACTGTAATAAATGCAGTGGATAATATGAGAATGTGTTAGGGCTACGTAGTACCTACACGGTGTTATAGCTAGTCCTATAGCGCCAGCCTACAGTCTATAGCTACGGCTCTACGAACGACTCGCTTCTACGAGTACAGTCGAATGATTGCATCCGTGAGAGACGGCCGAGGCACTCACATCTCGCGAAGTTTCGCGCTTTTCCTTCACGTTCAACAAACATTATCGAATATTATGTTAATAAACATCGAAAGTAATTTATGGTGTGTTAAATTGTGTGTCAATAATAGTGTGTAAAAATGTGCTATTGTAAATGGTAATTAATTTAAAAAAAGTTTAGTGCTGTGATTGGTGTTTGATTTTTAATATACGCAGTATCCGCGTTGGTGAGTTTTTCGATTTATATTTTTATTTATGCTATAATATAGCTTTTATAATATAATATTATGTTCACTAGATTCCTAATATGAACAAAAGTTTTTTTACAATGTGTGTCTAGTATAATTATAATATTTTTTACGTTATTTAAACTTAAATATTTCTATATATCATTAAGGTATATATGTGATATTGGATGATATAGATATATTATATTTAAGTTAAAATTTTATAAGTATGTTATTTCTGTGATTAATTTAAAATATTAAAGAAATTAATAAAATAATAAAAGATTCATTTATAAATAGTAGGTAGGTCTAAAAAGTCGTTTTCAGCATCAGTCTGATTTTCAATTAACTTATTTACATTTTTCATATAGGTTGAACTAAAATTTTAATATTTCGTAGGTTGTTCAATCTGAAAGAAGTCAGAGTAAAGTACGTATTTCCACAATTCTGGGCCTAATATTAAATTAAAAACACTTATTAAAAACAATAGACTGTGATACGGAGATTTACGTCCATCTCATACAGTACTTTTAACTTGCCTTTAGCTTCACATAAGAAAAATCAATTTTATTACGTTTTATACTTTGCATAAATAAAAATGGCATCGTAAAATAGCAGTAATAGGTTTAATTACATACTTTCTCATTTTATCTTCGTTTTACCATATAAACTGTTGTGAAATAATTACAATAAAAGACAGAAATTTTGTTAATAGATTTTCCTAAATTAGACTGGGTTTGGGAATTGAGTTACACTTTGTACAAAGCCGTGAGCATGAGTGCGTCATTGTATAAGGTCTTTGTATAATCACCTATAAGGCCACCAAGCAGTGTGCTTTATAAGCGTGTGTTTCGGCCTAAGGGCCAGATATGACAGCGATATTATATGTTGGTTGACATCAATCTGTAGATGTTGCCAACAGAAGAGGAAACGCCACTACACATCCTATGAAGGAGGAGGAAAGGGACCAATCTGCAGTAAATGAACTACGCATTTACACAGATGGCTCCAAAACACAGAACGTTCAGGAGCTGGGGCACATTCCCTTGACCTCAACATGAACATATCTATATCGGCAAACACAGTTCGATCTTTCAGTGCGAATGTGTTGCCCTGACCGAGGCAGCAAAAGCCGTGTACAGGTTAGGGGTCAACAATTTCAACATTAAATTCATATCGGACAGTGCAGCCGTGCTTAAAGCACTACAGAACAGAAAATCCAACAACAAACTAATAATCGAGTGCCACATCGCCCTGGAAAAAATTGCAACGCACAACGGAGTAATTATCCAGTGGATAAAGGGGCACAGCGGATCATATGTCAATGACGCCGCGGACGAACTAGCGAGAGTAGGATCCGGTATGGTGGTTGCAGGCCCCCTCCCGCTTATGCCAATACCATTCTCGTTTCGCACCTGGATTCGCCAGAGATCCACCGAAATACAAAACCAAAGATGGAACCTAACCACTGATTGCAAACAATCTAAAGTGGCAATTCCAAAAACGAACCATCGGTTAACAACACGTCTACTTAATCTAGATAGACAAAACCTCAAAATAATGATAGGGACAATAACGGGCCATTGTTCCTTAAACAAACACTTATACAAAATTGATGCTACAGACAGCCCCCTTTGTCGGGGCTGCTTTGAAGCTGAAGAAACGGCGGCTCACGTAATCCTGGAGTGCACGGCAGTGGCCCAACAACGAAAACAAATCCTCGGAACGGTGAGGTCGCTCCGTGAAGCCTGCGAAGACACCAGGAGTCTTCTGCGCTTTTGGGAGGAGCTTGGCTGGCTACTTTAGTAGTCTGGCTCTACACGCACAACGGCCCGAATGTGAGGCTAATTGCGGAGAATAGGGTCCAACATACGATACGATACGATACACATCCTATGTAGTTGTAGCTCACTCATGCATAAACGAAGTATCCCCTATGAAAGTTTACACAATCCTGAGGCAATAAAAACCATAACTCCTAAGGATATCCTTCAATTCTTGTTCCTCACAGGTCTAGGTAGCGACTTTGAATAAGGGCGAGCACAATAGATCTATACAGGTCGCAGTGTTACAGGTTTAGCAACTGACAATACCCCAAATCCCCTAATAAAAAAAATGCATATTGGTCTTACGGAATATAACACATGAAGCGTATCACGCGCATGAAATGATATCCTCAGTTTTGTTCATTGTATATTAATGATGGTTGCTGTTTACCATCAGATGAGCTGTCAGCTTGTTTCCCATTTCACAAAGCAAAAGCAAACAGACACATAGAAAAATAAAGTTCATAATGCTAAACGACGTGCCCGCGACATTGCGAGAGCTACTTAACAAAGTTATTTAATACTTGTTAGTTTTAGTTGATAAAATTATTCTAGTAGGAAATTCATATTTTATATTATATAAAGTTGTGCTTAAGACTTTTAACCTGTACAATACGTACGTAATCTAATACTGTTGCATACTTCGCTGCAATGACATTTATACTTATTTAAACACATGCACTATTATCTTAGATAGGGTAGTCAGATATATTATCAATTATCAACGTACAAGAATTAGCAGCGAACTATTTCATATAATTACTAGTTGTTAGTGAATGTGTTGATTGTTTACTCTATGGGCCATATGTATTTAGAACTATATTGGTTTTAACAAAACATCTCATGTTTAATGCAGTAAAGTAATTATTATTATTATTATATTTCTCTTATTTAGAAATATAAATGATTGTAATTTTTTTTCTCCTATTTCTTTTCAGTGTATTTCGGGGCAATAAACTTAACCTACGACATTTACACTTATAAGTGTAAATAACATTTTGATTTGGTTCACCACCATCAATTACAACTCAACGCTTGCGGAGCTTACTTACAAAATTCAAAGGTAGACTAGGAGACTTATTGAATTGGTTCATTCACTTCGTGTGATTTATATATTCTCATTCATAAGGTCTAATCTATCGATAGCAACTCTTTGCGCCGCACTCCTAATGCTGGATAGTATATACAGAGGTTATATAACTTACAGCAAATATATAACCAATATTGAACAGTTCATAGAACACTTAGATTCTTTAAAGTAATTGGTATTATAACCAAACATATGGCCCACCGTATGTTAGGTAATAATAGTCGCTATATATATAAAGAACTAACACGTCACCTTTAACTATCACACTACAGATATCACGTCATCATTTGACATCCGTAGCACCATTCATGCTTTGCTATTACAATCTGTACTATTACGAAGGTTTTTTATAGCACATGAGGCAAATGAGCTTGCGGTTCAACTGATGGTAAGTGACCGCCGACCATACGTACTTACAGTACGAGGGGAATTGCAAGTGCGTTGCCGGCCAAAGGTTTACAAACTCATTTCTCTTTTTTCTAAAATTTCACTGCTTCTTCGGTAAAAAAAAATCTTTCCTATCCTTTCTTCTAAGTTTAATAGAAAATAACTCGATTTTCATAGTAATAACTAACGTAAGCTATGTTATTGGCCATTATATTATTACACTGCTATAAAAATGTCTATCGGTATTTTAATAAATAAGGATCGTAAAGTATAGCTCCTTAGATGTTTACGAGTTATAGATAAAATGTATTTATTATTTCATAAAAATGTAAACCCTATCCAATAAACCTATTTTTACTATTTGCGGTGTCTACTTGAGAGAAAAGAGTGAAAAAATGTTTTATACATTTCAATATTTAATGCTTTCTTAGATATATTTTAGAAATAACCAGAGACGGGGCTTGTCTCTGGTCTGTCTGGTCTTTGCATGGTTGCATATTTGTAAGAATGTATAAGTTATCTAAATGTAAGTTAAATTAAAGTTTTTATTATTAGGAAAATTAGCTCCAAAATTACTACATCTTTGATTTGATTTGAGTAAAACTTTTCAATGATTGAACCGTGAATTATGTTGCGTATTATCATGTGAAACCGTGTGTTACCTTTTCATAAAGATATGGCAGAATTAATCGCAGAATGGATGGTAATTTGACGAGGAAATATATAGGCTATGTTTTATTTGAGTATCAGACTAATATACGGGTAACACCTAATAGTGCAATGTCGACGGGTACTTGTAGAAAAGTAAAATACAAACTACGTTGTCAATACTGTACTCTGTACTATATTGTTCTCTGTCTAGTAAGTAAACTGTGACTCTATTGCGAATTATTTAAAATGCGTATTAATTCATAAAAATTGGTTTGTTTTATTTACCCAGGGAATTTTAAGATCTCTGTTCACTATATTTATTTTTATATATTTCACTTCTGACACTACATTCATAAAATCTTAATTATTGTATTATTATATAGAGTCATTTTTATTTACTTATGTCGGCCTTCTTATGACTTTGTTTCCAATGGTCGCAGATTCAATTTCTCCCACAGTAAATACATTTGTATTCATGAGTATGATTGTTTGTATTGGTAATATCTATGTGTATATTATATATATTTGTATAAAAAATCTATCTAAGCATTTTTATCTGTTGTGGGTAGTATACAACTGACAACATAAGCTCTACTTAGCTTAGGATTAGATGGCGCTGTGTGTTATCAAGGGATAATAATTTTATTATTATTTATGCTATTAAAAGGATTTGTTTTGGTTTTAGTAGTGGATCTACAACATGGTATTTTTTGAATAGACCGGAACATTTCAATATGACGTTTTTAAAGAACCAATCACAAGAAGGTATAGAACCTTGAAATCTCCATTTAAATTGAAAAAATCGGCAGGCCGGCATCATTTCTAATATCCTAGTTTCTAATATAATAGGATAGGTACTCGTAGTGATGGCAGTCGAAACAACTAATTTTATATAATTTCGTACACACAAGGTGTTTTGAAGACTGTAATCGGTTCTTTTAAACATTGTATACTTTAGTTTTAATCGAAAAGGAAATACTCGGTTAGATAATATTTTTTTTATGTTTGTTCAAAATCTCTATCTATACAAATAAATAAAATTGAAG